ACTGCACCTGATCCGCCAATAAGAATGTGATACGGATAAAAATACAACCTCGGTTGCAAATGGCCGGTTATGTAGAAGTACAGCGACACCAGTGATCACCAGGCCACACGGCCTGTGACGTGCCCTGGAGTGAGCAATGACTGAACTTTCTCTAGTAGACCCCGATGCTTCTGATTGACTAGACAAGAGGCTCATACCCGGCGCAACAACATCCGGTTTCAACCTCCCGTCCGTTGTGAACCCTGCAGAGGAAAACGATGCAACTGTGCGCTCATTGAAGACATCAGGGCACCCAAAGTCTGTGAAAGAAGCTGCAGAGTTCAGCGATACGCCAACCGATATTACGATTTTGACATCGGGTGGAGATGAAATGGCGCGCTGTCTAGTAGTCGAAGACTCGCCACTGTTGCCTGCCGCCACAACCACCAGGACGTCTAGGTTTTCATAAATAAAAGCGTCCAAATCTCTGGCTCGTGAGCGACCCAGGTGTGCCCCACGAGAATGAGAAAATCTTGGCACCAGCGTCAATTTGACTCTCTAGCAAGTCGCTGGCGTCTGCAGGTGTGACTAGTGACGCGGCACAATGCAGCTGACCTGCGCAGGTTTTGCTCTGGGTCCCGATGTCCATAAATGCTATCCGTGCCTTGTCGACAATGCCGAGATTGGCATATTTACCGCTAAACGAGCTGCCAGCTAACAGTCCAGCGACGTAAGTACCGTGATCACAAGTGATAGTTTCGGCTTCATCCGCTTTGTTTGCCCAGCCATTGTACATGACGACTTTGCGCGCCGATAGCTTAATTACTTTAATACGAAAATATCGCGTTCATCTTGATCGAATTGGTAGTGGTACAGATACAATCCCGTGTCCGTGATGCCCACAACTACGTCGTTTTCTCGAATACCGACCTCTCTGGCTAACTCAACACCCACTAGACTTGGCACGTAAGCATCCAGCCGTCGAGTCTTCCTGAAGTGTACAGCCATCACCAGGCGCGTACGCTGGCCTCAGCATGGCCTGGGAGCTCCTTGTCGACTCCCGGTCGAACTAGCCCCAACGGACCAGTTCCCATGGAGCTCGGGTCCGCCGAACAGCGTGACATCCGCTGCTTCGGCTGTGGGAAGATGGGCCACTTCAAGCGCGACTGTCCCGCGGAAAGACTCCACAGACGGTCTTTCCTCAAGCCCGTCCTCAAGGGTCGCTGGCAGAAGCCAGGACCCCGAGGACAGGTGTAACGGGGCGAGTGTACCATTACAGTGAGGTGGATCCAAGCGACCTGGATCCGGATGAGTGTACCCATAATAGGGTGACCATGATGATTACGTCATATATCCGGTGGATCTGAAGATAACACAGCTGGGATGATGGGTCAAGGGAAGAAGGGACATGCAGCCGAGCCTGGTAAGGGATTTAGCAGATGAAAGACATAGAAGGTAGAAACCCAGGCAGGTATAGGCTTAAATATCAATACAGACTCCAATTGCACAGTGACACGCAAGTGCCTTCCTGCCCTCAAGAACCGGAACTACATTGGCCGTACGAGCTCCGAGAAGGTTGGGAATTGCGAATCTAGTGTTGGTAGTGATAACTGGATAATACATTGGCCAGATCCTACAACCTAGTGAGCTTTTCCTTTACTTGTGCAGATCCGACAGGTTAACCGAATTTACTACTTGGTCGGTTACACCCTAGGGGCTCTCAACTCTCAAGATCCCGTCACAGGAGGCGGCAAGTACGACTTAAAGGACAACACAAAGGCAAGGGAACACACCCGCAAGGCAACCCTACGGCCAGATCCACGATCTAGGCCCCGGATCCATAAGCTCGAATATTCGCTTAGGATACGGAACCATCCACGGACGCAGAGTGAAGATTTTCCACTGCTGCTCCACCCCATCCCCACGTCTCGCCAAGACACTCAAGCTTCACCACTTGAACTCTTCGGAAGTTACCGAGAGAGCAAGATCCCGCCCTACCGACGGGTACACAAGGTGAGGAAAGTTCAGCAGAACACGGATCATCGGGGGACCCCCTCCGTTAGTCGGTGTCTGGGCGCAGTTGGTAAGTTGAATCTGGCAATCTCGCAGATTTTGCTGATCCCGCTACACCACAGATTGGCCATGATGAGCGGCCTCCCGTATGAGCCGACGATGGATCTGGTATGGGTGATGTGGTGTAGTGATTTCTCCGTAGTTGCGGATTATCACCCGTCGACAAAGACGTGACACCGCCCAAGATGTTCAAGCGACGAACCCTCGGTCATGTGATGTACGGTGACGCCAAGGTGCAAGGGACTCGACGGCGTCACTACCGAACTATCAACGGATATTGGATACGGTTCATATGTCACTGAATCCAGGCTGTCCTTATTATTAATAATGGACTGACCGGATTCGCATTCCGCGGACCATCTACGGTACGAACCCTCAGTGGCGGTTGGGATGAGCTCGCGGAAGACTCAGCGACCCTTATAAAGGCACGTTCACCGTCTGGGACAGGGCGCGGACCGTTAAAGATACTCATGCGACGGTGCAGACGACGCTTGGCGTGCAAGAAGATCCATAACGGATCATTGTTCACTAGATATTTGTATACTTGATTAGGACTTCTTATTAGGAATAGACCCGAAAGGGTAAGCTTATATACAGAACAGATTTTCCACTCAAGCACACAGAGCGACGTCCGGCTTCAAGGTAAGCGTCTGGTCAAACTGTTTTGAGTGTGTTATGCCTGTCGGTGAACTCGAAGCTCTGTAGCGAGGGTTCATCCGGCAAGGCCAAGAGACTGTGTATTTTGGCCGATCACATATCGGGAGGTTTACGTGACGGCTTATTGTTGCCTATTTGCACGACTGGGATTGCTTGTATTGCTTCCCTTTTATTCTTCCAACCGAGTGTTGAGCACTCGGTGCCCTCGTAGAAGGCTTACCCATGCCTGGTACCCTTCCGCTGTTGGGATCACGAGGATTCATAACACCTGCTAGCCTTGCTCGTGCTAGTAGCGTGCTCTTATTTTTACTGGCTGGCCTATATAAGTAGTTTACAAGGTCCATTTTGTCCCGGTGCAAGGGCAGAACTGGGGTCTTCAGGTCCGCCCGAACGATCGTTTACTACCCTAGTAGACGTATTGTTGTGGGAACGTCCTAACTAAATTTGTAGCTAGAGTTCACGTGGCAATTCCAACACCACACAGGCAATACACCTCACTGGAGACTTGAAGTCTTTTACTGTTAAGCTCATGCCGTCCACCACATTCGACTGCACCATCATCGTTAGAGCCTGTACGTTCATGAGCGCGAACTTCATATGCCACAACATCAGCGAAGGTTGTAAGAGCTGCTGCACTCCAGTACTTGCCATTGCCATAAGCACCGGTGCCGCTCGTTTCGTCTTGTCCTGCTCGAACATGGCCCACATCTCATGAGAACTCAACCGCTTGCACACCTTCTTCGCTTCCCTAGCCACCAAGCCTCGCAACATTGTGTCTTGAGCAAAAATTATTCAGTTTAGTCATTCAGCTTGCTGGTCTGCGTCATTAGGATCTCTAGTATCCGTTCCCACGAGCACGCCCCAAATACCTCTCTGCGCGAGAACGTCGAGTAGAGTACTACCGAGTACTAGGAAAGCGCAAGGCATCAATAGACACACCAACAACTGGGAGATCATGACTGCGTACTGGCCTGTGGTGCCAAACACCCAGGCACCGACATCCGAGAATGTCTTGACTGATTGGGGG